AGGACGGCCCAGAGCAGTGGTATTCTTACCACCTGGGACTCTGTTCTGGCACAGTGTTCCTTTTTCAGGTTTTCATTCTTAATTTTTATGCTTTTTAAAACATATTTAATTCTGGGGTGCCTGGGTAGCTCAGTCCGTTGAGCATCCTGCTCTTGGTTTTGGCTCAGGTGGTGGTCTCAGGGTTGTGGGATTGAGCTCCACGTCGGGCTCTGCACTCAGCCGGGTATCTGCTTGTGACTCTCTCCCTCTCTCAGCCCTCCCCCTGCTCGTGCACACACGTGTTCTCTCTCTCAAAGTAAAATCTTTAAAGAAAACAGAAAGTAATAAAATATACGTAGTTCTGCAGGTTCTCAAATCCTCTTGTGATTGGACAGAGTTGGCCTTTATTCAGTTCCTCGTGCCTCTCTTCTTGGGGCCACCAGCGGTGAAGCTCCGAGTAGGTTGCTCTGCTGGCATCTCAGCCAGGGTGGGGCATTGAGACGGGGGTGCTTCCCAGGCTGTGGTCTAAATCACAACGAAATTAAGGTTGATGTGGGTCAGTGGGGAGTGTTTCCTATCACCATAAAAAAAGTTGCATGTTCCCACATCTAACACCTGAGTTCATAAGTTCAGGGTTCTCTTTTTCAGCTTTTGAAACGACATTAACGGAGGGAAACAAGCTGGAGAAGAAGCTCTTCTATTCAACTTTCGCTACCGTGAGTAAACATTCAGTGGAGACACACATGGTCCAGCTGTAGAAATCACTGGGAATTTCCTTCTAGATTTTTTCATTAAATAGCATTTCTCTTTGGTCAAACTGTTCGCTTTCCCTGTAGCTGGATCCAGTGTGTCCCGTCCACGAGCATGATTTTTGCAAATGAGTACAGTGTGTAGAAGTTCACAAGTGGGAAGGGTGACTTCCTATTACAAAAGGTCTGATGAATGGCACCTTTAAACAGCAAGCTCCTGTATTTAAATGCAGTGTATCTGCCCATAATTTTCTGCATCATTCCCGTTACTTGGAATGGAGTTCGAATGTATTCTAATACTGCAATCTGAAGCTTCAGATCAATGTTTTCTAGGATTTGACAGTCACTGAAAGGGAGTCCTTCTTGTAAGTCATTAAAACCCGTCTCTCAGTATCGGATAGTCGTATGTAGGTGTTTCATGAAAGAGAGATTAAGAAATGACTTTGGCTCTTGAGGAAGTGAAGGTGTGTTTGTGTATATATGCACACATGCAGGTGATGAATTAGTGAATGACCCAAACAGGTGCATCTGAGGTTCTCTGTGGGTGAGAGTTTATTTGACACACAAATTAGTGGTTTCTGAATGATCACACCTAGGGGCTGGGGGGGGGGGGCGGCATATAAAAATGTCATTTCCAGGCCAACCCTAAGTGGTCAGGGAATCCAGGCCATTCCCAAGTTTCCAGGTAGTCCTGATGCAGGACCCTCCCTCCCTGAGCTCCTCCACTCTGTGAAATCTGAGTTTCAGAGGAGCCCACAGTCTGTGAGCAAACCACAGAGACAGGCAGAGCCCCACACCTTGACTCCAGAGGAAAACGTGAACGTCTATCCCTGCCTGTTTTCCCTTTCCCACAGGAAGACCAGAAAGAAGGGATGACCGCATTTGTGGAAAAGAGAAAGGCCAGCTTCAAAGACCAGTGAGCGCCTCCACCTCTGCCTAGAACCTTCTACTTAAAGACAAATTTAGAGTCTGACAGTCTTAGAAGCAAGTAAATCCTTCTTTCATAAAGGGCCGTGTAGGTGACACACAGTTTATCTGACGCTTGGGGCGCTCACTCCTGGGTGGTAGGCAGTCTTCACCCAGCGGCCATGAGAGTCCGTGTCTGGAGCATGTTCACACTCTGACTGACCGTATTCTTCTTAATCAAAAATTATGGGGCACCTGGGTGGCTCAGTTGGTTAAGCGACTGCCTCCGGCTCAGGTCATGATCCTGGAGTCCCGGGATCCAGTCCCACATAGGGCTCCCTGCTCCGCGGGAAGCCTGCTTCTCCCTCTGACCCTCTTCCCTCTCGTGCTTTCTATCTCTCATTCTCTCTCTCTCTCAAATAAATAAAATCTTTAAAAAAAAAAAATTATGAGGGGAGCCTGGGTGGCACAGATGGGTAAGTGACTGTCAGCTCAGGTCGTGGGATCAAGCCCCACATCGGGCTCTGTGCTCAGCGGGGAGTCTGCTTCAGATCCCTCTCCCTCTGCCCCTCCCCCACTTGTGTGCGTGCGCTCGATCACACTCTCTCAAATCAATAAAAATCTTTTTAAAAATTCCGCTCATGAGTCTTTGGTGATGTGTTTAAGTTTTACTCGATTTCAGGAACTGAGAGAGATTCGATGCCAAGCATTCCCTTTGTACAGCTGCCTTCAGGTGGAAGCACATCCCCTGCTTGGTCGCTGTGCAGTCTCACAGCCAGTGAATGTGACCGCTCAGAGGGCGGGTGCTACCAACTACGCGGCAGATGCGGATCCCGTTGTGCCTCTCTGGAGGCAAACGCCATGTCACTCTGCAAGCTTGTTTTGTCATTGTGACCTCAGTCAAACAGAGTCCATAAAGTAAGTCACCTGGCACACTCCCAGGGTAACCACTGTTAATAGGTATGTAGCTTTCTAGATGTTTCTCTGCACACGTGTGCAGACACACGGGGATAGCAGTTTTCTTATGAAAATGGAATTGCGCATCCACACTTCTGCACAGCGTGCTGACCCGTTACCTTCTGCTCCGGTCCCACAGGTGCACCCTCTTCTGTCTGAATTGTGGTGAAGTCTAGGAAACAAAGCTTACCATCTCAACCATTTTTAAATCTGCAGTTCAGAGGCATTGAGCATAGTGACAGTTACGCAGCTGTCCCACCATCCATCTCCACGCTGCTTTGTCCTCCCAAACAGAGACTGTCCCCGACAAACGCTAACCCTCGTCCCCCCAGCAGCCCTGGCGCTGTCTCGGCTACCTTCCTTCTGTATCTGAATTCAGCGTTTCCGGGCTCCGTTAGGTTCTAGCAGGTCCTCAAGCTTGCTTTCTTCTCATTGCTCGGTATTATTCCTGTGAGCTTTCCGCTCGATGGCCCTGAAATACGTGATGATACAGGAATGTCGCTTACTTATCCCCGTGGTGTTGGATGTTTAGGCTCGTTTCTTGTCATCAGGACTCCCATGGGTAACACTGCAGTGACCATTCTGTGCACGAATCCTTGCACTGCGGTGCGAGCATGTCTGTTAAGATTTCGAGAACTGAGCCTACTGCCTGCGGTGGAGACCTGCCCACTCTGCCCCATCAGCAGCAGTCGACAGGGCCCGTCTTCTGGTGCTTGTCAGTCTGCAAGATTGGTGTTAGGGCTGCTTGTATCCAAATCCCTAGGGTGCTTGCTTAAATACACATGCCCAGACCTGGATCAGAACTATGGGAGGCCCTGGAATGCGTGGTCTCCAGCGGTTTCTGGTGCCCCGCAGAACTGTGTTCGGGGCTATAACACTGAGTGTCATTTGCTGTGGGAGACAGAATTTCCACAGCAAGCTTCCTCTGCTGGCTTCGGACTGGTGGGCCAGCTGCATCCCCCAGATCACACCTCACAGGGCACTGGGTGACCGAGGGACCCCAGTTACAGGAAGCCCCCTCTGCCCCACCAAACATCTGCCACTGAATTCGTGGGTCAGCGAGGCACAGTGCTCTAGACCCTCCCATCTCTCCAGGCCATTGAGTAAAAGTCCTGAGCATGGGTCAGAGACCATTCTCCTACTGCTTGTGTGGGCTTCATGGGTGAAGGGGGCTGTCACTGTCCCAGGATGGGGCCCCAGCCTCAAAACATCCTCAGACCCTCTGAGGTGATGTCAGGACATGGGCATCTCTCCAGGTGGGTGCTGGGCACCATGGGGACCCAGCTGGCTCTTGGCGCTGTGCATGCAACAGAGCAGCTACAGCTTAACTGATGGCCCTACGTGAGGGGTGAGGCCCTGCTGGCTGCCATGCAACCCCCATCCCTCACCCCATCAGTCTTGCTCTATGGAGACGGCCCCAGTTCTCAGTGGAGGTGTGCCCATGGCACTGCGGGATGGCAGATGGAGTGTTGCCACCATTTTTGGAAAACAGTCTGCTACACATTCAACCAGGATCGGGCCCTGGAACCACCATCCTGACCCAGCCCTGGACACAGAGAGGCGGTGGGCTGCACCTCGGAGGAGGGTGGGGTGGGTATCTTCCAGCAGGGAGGTGGTGGCACCCTGAGCAGGAAAGCACAGTATGGTTCGTGGTCCCAGGTCTCCAGGGGCAAGGGGCAAGCAGGCAGGGCACTCTGGCCAGCTGAAGGCAAGGTGCTCCCTCTGTTCAAGGGGACGAGGTGTGGATACGTTCCCCACCCCACCCCCAATCTGGACACCCCATCTTCGTGGGGTGGGGGTGGGGAGGTCCAATCCTGAGGAGGACCAGCAGCTGGGGCCCCTGGGTAAGAGGTCAGGTCACTGCTGTCCTGGGATGGGACACTGCACCCCACTCAGGTACCTGAGGGGTGTCAGCAGGTTGGCGCCTGGGAGACGAGGTGGGACCCCCCACTAAGGTGCTCCCAGCACACCAGCTTGGCCCAGAGGCCGCTCCTGCCTGCCCTCCAGGGTCCCCTGCAGGGTCCCCTGCAGGGCAGGCCCGTGGGCGCCCTTGTGAAGAACGTTGGTTGAAGAAGTCGGACGGCTCTGGCCACCCGCCCCCCCAGGGACCCAGCGGGCTGGGCTGGGAGTGGGGGTGGGGGTCAGCAAGGCCTGAGGAGCGGAACGGAAGGGGGATGGGGAGGCCGCGAGGGGCGGCAGACGGACGCCTGGGCCGGGGATCCGGCGAGGGACGCGAGGCCCCGCAAGACGCTGCGGGGGGCTGTGCCGGCTGTCGCCCCCGCCCCCGGGCAGCACGCGCGAGCCGCGGTCGTCGTCGGCGCGCCCAGCCCTTCGGGGCGCCCGGGGGGCCCTCCCCATCGCGCGGCCGAGCCCCCGCTCCTGCCCCGCCCCTTCCGCCGAGGCCACGCCCCTCCGCTCCAGGCCGCGGGATCATGGTGGTGCTGAAGGGCGTCCCGGCGCTCCTGTCCCCTGAGCTGCTCTACGCCCTGGCACGGATGGGGCACGGAGACGAGATCGGTGAGGGGCGGGGGCAGGGCCCCCGCCACCCCAGGCCCCGCAGGGGTCCTGGCCCAGGTTGTGCTCCCGTCCGGGAGGCGACAGCTCCCCAAGCCCGGGAGGAGCCGGGTCCTGGCCTGGAGGCATTGCTTTGGCCGCCCCGTCCCACTTCCCAGTAGGGCACCCGCCAGCCCCACATTCTTTAGGAAACAGGCCCGGCTGGTGGCCCGAGCCCCTGCCCAGACCTTGGTCGCCCCCAGTTGGTCACGAGGACGGTGGCCCTTGGTCCGGGCGGGGCTGCGTCGGCAGGTGCGTCGGCAGGTCCGGCCCCTCCCCCAGCCCGGCTTTCTGGGGGCCCCGGGGCCAAGTTCCCAGCTCCGGCCTCAGGCCCAGTGTGCCCCTTATTCTCCAGAACCCCTCCCAGGCGGCCCACGAGGGGCCACACCGCTTTCTTTGGGGCGGTTTGTCTTTTCCTGGAGCCATGGACCTGGGGCGGGGGCTGCGCAGCCGGACGCCGGAGCGGGCTGGGGGCGGCAGCACCCCTAAGGGGTGGAGGCGGGGGGGGGGGGGGGGGGGGTTCTAAGCTCCTCCCTCGTAGCCCCTGCAGGTCCTCCTGCACTTGGAAACTTCCTCTCCCCGCCCCCACCTCTGACGAGAGGAGTCGACGGGTCGGGGAGGGCAGTGGGCATGACCTGACGTCGGACAGGTGACCCACCCGGTGGGAAGGCGGGCTGTGCAGACCCGCGGACCCACCGGGGGATGTCTAACCGGGTTGGATGGCTGTTCAGTTTTTGCAGACGTGAACTTCCCCACCTCCTCCATATGCAGGTGTGGCCCAGAGGAGATCCGCGCTGACGGTGAGCGGGCCAACTCCGGCAGAGTGGGGTTAGGGTGCGTACACCGTGGCCCCAGCTCTGGGCTCGCCAAAGTGCTGCCGCCCTGCCCCCATCCCCACTTATTCCCCAGCACCCCCCAGTGACCCAGGAAATCCCAATGGCAGGACCGGCAGAGACCCTTTTCCACCCCAAGGCCCCAGAGGTGACCCTGGGCCTCCTGCTCTATCTCAGATACCTCTCAGTAACTTCTTGCCAGTGGGGAAACTGAGGCCAGATGCCTTGTTGGCTGGCTGAGCGCTGGTGCACCCCTGCCCCCCACAGCCCAGGTCCGTGTTCAGCTTTTACTCTGCTGTAGAATCCCCAGTACTGGTGACCTGACCTCACAGGCTCCAGGTGCCCCCATGCTCTGTCTCTGAGACCCTCTGACCCTCAGGGGTGGGCCGCAGGCTTGGCTGGGAGGGGCCTGGAGTCAGGTCCCCAAGGTGATGGTAGTAGCCGAGTTAGTACCAAGAGTAAGGGGGTGGGGGGTGTGAGGACACCAGCGTCCCCCTGTCCTGCCCTGCCTGGGCTGGCAGTGGGCTCAGACTGGGCCTGACTGTCTCCCCGCCCTTAGCAATGCTCAGAGAGGACACAACTCTTTCTGCGAAACTGAGGCACAAAGATGTGAAATGTAGGGTAAAGCAGCCCCTCTGGACAGAGCGGGCCAGTGGTCTGAGGCCTGTCCAGTGGGCTGCTGGCTCCAGGCCCAGTGGCCTTGTCTTCCACCCTCTGCTGAGGGAGATGAGCCAGCCATGCCTCGGTTTACACTGTGGGCCAGATGACCAACATGCTCTCCTTCCCAAGGAGAACGGGACGAGGTGGGCCATGGGGAAGGCCAGAATGCTGGAAGATAAGGAGCGGCCAGGCTTCCGAGTGACCCGCACGCCCTGCGAGTTAGTGGAAACAAGCAGTTAGGGGTCAGAGCCCCCACGCAGACAAATCTAACCACAGAGAAAAGCAGAGAAAAAGGCGGAAGAAAATGCACCCGGGATAGCAGGATTTCCCACCAGCCGGCAAAAAGATCACAGCCAGTTCTTTCTTGTCACCAGCTCTGTATGTCCCCGTTTTGTACGACCAGGACTTTAACCGTGAGAAACCAGCTTTACAGGAGAGCAGGGATCTTGGAGACCAGTGGGCAGGTTTGGGGACAGCCTGGGGCAGAACAGCCTCTTCCCAGAAACCCCTGTTCTCACCACAGGATAAAGGTGGCAACCCAGGGGTCGTCTGGGAGAGCTGGGGTCAGGGAGGTGGCCCAGGTGCCCCTCTGGTGGATGAGTGTTTGAGGTCACCACCAATAACCTGTGTAGTGCAACTAGACTGAAGGGCAGGGCGAGCCCAGAGCCAGGATGGTCACAGGTGCCATGGCAGGGAGAGGCCAGCGTGACCCCAGTAAGTGTCAGCAGGCAGGCAGCAGGGGCCTGCATCCCCGGCTGTCCTGGGCCCAACACCATCCCTGCTGGCCGGCTTCGTGAGGCCAGGGCAGAAGGCCCAGAGGGCAGGCGGCACTGCCGGTGGCCGGGTGGCGGAGGGCTGCAGGCTGAGGCTGGCCCTCCACCCTAGGCCTGGGCATCCCACTGCTCCTGGAGGCCGTTCTGAAGGTGCTGCCCCTGGACACCTACGTGGAGAGCCCGGTGAGTGCCTGTCGCCACACTGCCCCTCCCTGCTCTGGTCCTTGGCTTCTTCTTTGTCAGACCTCGGAGGACCCATCTGCCTTGAAGGGTGGGGGGAGGACATGTGTCCCCAAAGAGCCCTGAGCCTGATCAGAGGACCCCTAAACTGTCACCCAGTGTGGGGGCTGGAAGTGCCCCCGGCAGCTGGACGGATAGAGCACAAGCTGACCCCCTCTGTTCCTAGGCTGCTGTCATGGAGCTGGTGCCCAGTGACAGGAGAACAGGCCTTCAGACTCCAGTGTGGAGGAGCTACCAGTCCATCCTATTTGAGGCTGGCTGCACGGTGAGGCTGCAGCCCCCACCAGGAAAGCACTCAAGGACCCCCTGCACCTCCTTGGAGGCCCAGGGAGGAGTAAAAGACGGGCCCCGAATCCACCCTACAGTTGTGGCTCACTTGCTCACCCTCCACAAAAGAGTGACCCTGGGGCTGTGGCTGTCCCCTGTCCCCAGCCTCCCACCTCTCAGGTCAGGGACCCTGTCGTGGCCTGTGGCCCCTCACCCACCCCAGCTTGTGTGAGTGGAGCCAGGGGCAAGTGGGGCACCCCTGGCCCCTGTCTTGTGGTCAGAGGCCGGGCCTCATGCCGCGTGTCACCCCCACATTGTGAGGGGATGAACCTGTCCCCCCCAGGACCTCCCACTGGCACGTCTTGGGCAGGACCCACCTGAGGAAAGGCTGCCTGGGACTCCTCTCCTGGGCAGGGGCCCTCCTGCCTTCAGGCCAACTCCAGGAGACACAAGGGCCCCAGGCAGCTGGCCACCACAGCCCCCCATGTCCCTGCCTGTCCAGTCCTCACAGCTTAGAGGCTGAGCATCCTTGGGACCTCAGCCAGGAGAGCCAGAGACATGAAGCTCAGAGCGGCTATGTCTCCTCATGCCCCTGGCACCTGCTTGGGCCCTGAGGGTTTCTGAGCAAGGCCCCTCAACCATGACATTTTGCCTTCCAGAGCACCCTGGCGAAGATAGAGAGGTTTGAGTTTTATGCGCGGGCCAAAAAGGCTTTTGCTGTTGTAGCAACTGGGTGAGTTCTGGCTGAGTTCACGGGGTCCTGCAGGGTCCTGCTGGTCAGGGTAGGTTCGGCCAGGTCTGGCTGGGTCTGGGTCATATGAGGCACTTCCCCTACCCTCTGCTCAGCCCCTGCCCCAAATGAGGCTAGAGGCCCCACTGGGAAGAGGATTGTCAAGGGATTTGCCTGAGGACTGGTCCCTGGACTTGTCTAGTGGATGGGGTGAAAGTGCATGGGATGGGGGGCAGAGCAGGGATCCCAGTTTGGTGCTCAGCTCAGCTCCTTATGCAGGGAGACGGCCCTCTATGGAAACCTCATCCTCAAGAAGGGGGTGCTGGCCCCTGAGGCACTGTTCTAGGCCTGGCGAAGACCACTGGGCCCAGAGAGGAATCTGGATCTCTGAGCCAGACAACGGACGAACCGGCCCTGCCCTGCTCAGCCCAGACTGCACCCAGCTGAGGACCCCAGGGGCCAGGCCAGTCCTGGGAGGTGGGGGGAGGGGCTGCTGACTGGGGCTGGGACTCAGCCAATTTACGACAACGGTGTGAAGTGTGGTGACTCGTCAGTGTTCAGTCCAGGGGTCTCAACAACAGCCCCGTCCTCACAAAGACTTGTTTGGTGCCGAACACAAGGGAGGCCATTGGCTCCTCAGAGCGCCTCCCCCTCCCCGCCACGCATCCTCAGGTGGGAAGGAAGGCCTCCCTCCTGCTCCCTCTCTCCAGTGGTTGAGTGCCTGCTGAACACACAGGGCCCGAGCCGCCCTGGGAAATGGGGGTGAGGCGGGAAGAGGCGAGGGGACTCCCCGTGCCCAGCACAGGCCCAGCCTGCCTGGAGGCAGCGTGTGGGAGGGGGGCTATGGTGGCTTCTGGCACGAGGCTGGGGCGGGGGCTCAGGGTGCTCAGGGTGGGAGTATCCTGCCACCACTGCTCTGGGCCCCAGGGTCTCCCTAAACCCTTGCCCTCCCCGCCAGGCCTCCCTCTAGCCACGTGGGTGCAGAAGCTGGTATGAACGGGGGCTCCTGGGCCCTAGGTCCCTCGGAGCCTGGGGAAGGCTCCCCTGCTGGGGACCGGCGCTGGTGTCCCAGATGCCAAGGAGAACCTGGAGGGCAGGCAGGCCCACTGGGCTGGAGGTCTGGGGCTCAGCCTAGGGAAGGGACCCTGCCTGGGCCCAGTCACTGCCAGGACTTAACCTCAGACCCCTGATCCCACGGCCACTGCTAGCCACACAAAGGCCTTTCTTTAAACAGCTTTATTGAGACTTAGCTGACATACAATAAACTGTACACATTTAAAGTGGACAGTTAAATGCCTTTGGATGTTGTCTACACTGGAGAGCCTCTTGCCTCCTCCAGCATCCCCTGCTCACGAGGCTCACACACCTCAATGGCCCACTCCCAAATCCTAGCGGCACTGCTGCTCCAGGAGCTCTCAGCCACATGGCTGCACCCTTGGGTTGGAGGAAATGCCCACGGGGAATCCTGGCTCCAGGGATGCCAGAGAGAGACTGGGCCACAAACCACCCTGGGCTGTCCTGGGCCATGGCCACCACTGACCTTGGATCTGAGCTCGGCGCTGGGCCCCCATTGCCCGTACCCAAATTGCTCAGACGGGGGCGACCTGCAGGCTTACTAACCCTCACACGTGCTGTGCAGGATAGTCTGGGGCCTCCCTGTGCACTTGGCTCCTCTGGTCTGGGGCAAGAGCAAGTGCAAGGTGCACAGCGGTGAGTCTGGGACTCACCGTTACGGTCCTGCTGTCAGAGCAGGACCATGAACAGGTCACTATCCAGTCTGGGGTCCCTTCCTCAGTAACGTGGGGATGACAGTGCCCCTACTTGGTGGTACGGTGCCAGGCGGTGAGCACGTGAGCCGTCAGACAGAGCCTCAGGGCATGGGCCACCATTCAAGTCCTCAGAGGGTACCCACGGGAGGACACAGAACTCTAGGGCACGTGAGGTCACCCTGGACAAGCCCACTGTCCCCAGAGCAGCCGGATGCATCCGAATCTGCCTGGTGCTTTATTCTGTCTTAAGCACTGGAGTGGCTCAGGCTGGGGACTGAGAGGCACTCAATGCTTCCCTCTTGATGCAGGGACATGATCGCCACACACAACCCCATTTGCATTTGCACACACAGTCTGCACACATTCAGTATGTGAAATAACTCCAGTGAGCTCATGCCCGCAGCCTGAGTCCTGCACCGGCCCCCACCTGAGCACCGGTGCACCTGTCCACCTGAGCACCCACCGACGGGCAGCCTCCTGCTGTCTTTTTAGGGCCCATCTGCGGGGAGCTGACTGGTCCCAACCACTGACCTCTGCCATGCCCCTAGCCCCATCCCAATGTACAAGGAGGAGGCCTAAGGGGAACAGATTATTCCAAGAGCAGGGGTGCTGGGTTGGGGGAGCTTTGGGGGCTCTCGATGTGTGGAGACAAGCCTGTGGCACCAGGAGGACACGGGCCTCCCTTCTCCCAGACAGAGCAGGCTAGGACCATGGTCACTGTTCCTGAAGACACATGTGGCTTCCGCCTCCGTGAGGTTTATTTTTCCAGTTGGGGAGGGGTCAGGGGCCCCAGGAACCCTCCCTGGGGTGGTAGATGTGGTCTTGATCCTCCTCTGGCCCTTGAAGCACCTGGCGGAGTGACAGCGCCCAGGACCAGAGCCCTGCCTCATCCTGGACCTCCTGGGCCTCCTCGGGCGGTGGGTGGTACAGGTCATCACGGTCCGGCTCAGGGTCCCACCTGGGGCTTGGAACATGGCCCAGGGTGTCCTCGGTTCCTGCCTGGGCCTTGATGCCTAAGGACAAGGAGGTGGGATGGAGGTGTGGTTCCCCTCTGGAGGGAAGCCGACTCCATGGGGGCTCGCCTGCTGTGACCTTGTTCCACACCCCGCCAGGGGTGCTCACCTTGACCTTGTGGTTTCTCCCATGTGGCAGCCGCAGGCTTTGGTGCCACCAGCAGCCCCGTGAGCTGGTTGTCCTTTCTCAGAGTTTCCACCATTCGGGCGCCCCAGGCCCTGCGAGCACAGCTGGGTCAGTCAGGTCTACCTGTTCCAAAGGAGGCAGCCAGCCAGCCCGGCCAGTGAGGGTGCCCACCACCTTCTGAGCAGCCTGGGGGCCCTGGGCAGGAGACCTAGTGGGAAGTTGCTCCCCACCAGAGTCCTTGGTGGCTCAGTTCCATCACTCACGACCTGCCCCAGGGGCCCTGGGACAAGCAGCCCTGCCCCCCCCCCCCCCAAGAGCTATGGCCAGGCAACCTCCATGGAAGCAGGCCAGGCTTCCCCACCACATCCCTGAGCTGCAGGGGGCCCAGGAAGGTCAGAGCGTCCCTTGGGAGGCATCCTAAGGGTGTCCCCTGAGAAAACGTCCTGGCCCAGCCCTGGGTCGTGGAGACCCAGAGAACGTGGGCAGGAGCTCCCTCCTGTTCCGGAGGCCAGGACTGTGCAGGCTGGGGAGTGGCTCTCTGCCCTCTGGCCTGGCCCAGTGGCCCTGGGGGAGAAACCAGCAGGTGTTGCCTCATGTGAGTGCAGGGAATGGGGCATGGCTTAGGAGGACCTCTGTCTGGGGCCTCGGCCCTGTCCCCGAGGCTGCTAGGAGAGCTAGGGGATCATCCTGGAGCCCCCTGCCCCCAGGCTCTGGTAGGCCACTGACAGATCCCGTGGGGCCCCATGCAGGCTGGAGCATTGCCCCCTCCCCGAAGCTGCTGTGCAGGGCTTCCCCGCCGTCCACAACGCCCTTAGCTTAGGGGGTTCCCAGAAGGGGCTACTGGGGGCACTCACTCCTCTGTGTCCCGCTCAGGGGCCCCGACGTGGCCTTTGGTCTTGATGAGGACCTGGAAGAGGGAGGTCACAGGTGTGGGGTCCAAGGTCAGAGGACACCTGCAGAGAGATGGCTCCAAGGTCCCCTGGACCACACTTGCTGACTCCACCCCACCCTCTGCGGACTGGACAGAAGCCATGTGGTTCCTGGAGAGACAGGACCACCCCTGAGGCTGCGTCTGCACCACCCCTCCCTGGCTGATGGCCTGAGGAAGGGGGGCCAGCTCCTCTGAGTCCAGCCCTCCGTGGAGCGAGTTGAGCACGGGGGAGTGAATGAAACGTGACCCCTGGGGAGCGACCAGCTGTCTGTTGCCAGGAAGGGGTGGGCTTTCCCCTTCACCTGGTCTCTCCCAGGTGTGCAAGTCTGAGTGGTCTTGGCCCAGGGCGGGGTCGGAGGGGAAGAGGGATGGGGAGACACGGCTGGCACCAGTTACCTGCACAGAGAGCATGCACAAGGACGGAGGATGTGCTCGGACTCAGTGCCAGTGAGTGTCATCAAGGGCCCCCTCCTCCACCTGGACCACCTGGGCGTCCGTGAGCCTCGCCCATCGGACCCCACACAGGGACCTGCTCCCCGTCATCCTGAGGGCCCCTCCCAGTGCCCACAAGGCCACCCGCCACACTTGGTGCCCTTCCTTCACATTCCTTGCCGGTGGGGCAGGGCTGGGCGGAGGAGCTCACACATACCTGGGGCAGGAAAGCCGAGCCTGCCTCCTCCAGCAGCAGAGCCGCCAGGCTGGTGACCAGGAGGAGCCTGAGGGGACCAGAGAGGAGAGCGAGAGGCTGGGCAGGTTTGCTCCTGCTCATCAACCTCCAGACGGGACACCAAGGGGGGCAGCCCAGTGTGGTTGGCGGTATGGGTCCCAGCCAGGGAGGCCTGGGGCCAGGTCCACTTCTTTGTTTCTCCATCTCATAGACCAAGGACACACAGGCACAGAGATGTGGGACTGCCACAGGCCCACACGTGCTCTCAGGGCCCCTCAGACCAGGGGCCGCTGCCCCGCTGCACCCAACATTCTGGACAGATCGCTGCAAGCACGGGCCGCCAGGTGGATATGATGATCCGTGCCTTGCCTCCAGCTCCCAGCATCTGGGCTAGCAGCTGCACACAGATATGCACCCTCTTGGACACAGAGCAGTGAGGGCTAACAGCATCCTCGCCTGGGTGCTGATGGGCTAGGACCTGGGGCAAAGATCTCAGAGTGCTCTGTGTCCATGGCACCCTGAAGCTGTGCACGGTGGCTCCCTCGGCCAGACTGCACCTTGGCTCATCTCAGAGCTGTGGGTGGACTGTGGTGTCAGTGCCTGGGCACAAAGCCCCACAGGAGGCAAGCAGGATGGGTGCTCTTCCTGGACACAGTCAGCCTGACCCCTAGGGAGGCCAGGATGGCCAAGAGGGGAGAGGAGCCAAGGACCAAGCCCCAAGCAGGGAGTCTGCAAAGAAACACACGCAGGACAGGTGACCAATGGACCCAGCAGTAAAGGTCCTAGAAGCCTCATCCAAGACAGGAGAGGAGAGGGTGGGAGACTGACTGGTGCCTGGTGCCTGGTGTGTGTGTGTGTGTGTGTTGCACGGTGTGTGCATGATGCATGTGTGCGTGCATGGTGTGTGGTGCATGTGGGCATGGTGCATATGGTGTGCATGGTGCATATGGTGTGCATGGGTGAGCATGTGTGTGTGTCTTGTTAAAAGACAAGACAACAGGCCCAAAATAGAATCGCT